GATATTATGTCAATACAATACAATAAGATTTGATAGGATACGATGTTGATATGATACGGTGTTGATACAATAAGATACGATACGATGTCGATACAATTTTGATAGAATAAGATTCGACACGATACAATGTCGATACGTTATGATACAATTCGTTACAATACGAAGTCGATACCAAAAGATTCAATATGATATGATGTTGAAATGATATAAGATTTGATAAAATATGATCTTGATACGATAAGATTTCGATGCATTACGATAAGATTAGATACAATATGATGTCGATACTATGTTGATATGGGAGGATTTGATACGATGTGATGTCGATGACGTTGATACGATAACATTCTATATGATATAATGTCGATACGAAAAGATTCGATATGATATGTCGATACAATACAATAAGATTTAATACAATATGATGTCGATATGATAAGTTGTCAATATGAAACGATAAGATTTGTTATGATACGAACTTGTTATGACATGATCAGATGTTGATACGATGCAATAAAATTCAATACGATATGATGTCAATACGATAAATTTGTTACGATACGAAGTTGTTACGATACGATAAGATCAGATGTCGATACRATGTGATAAGATTTGATACAATACGATATTGATACAATAAGATTCTTCATGATGCAAAATTGATAGGATACAATGTCGATATGATACGATTTTTTAGGATAGTTCTTACAATACGATAATACATTAAGAATCGATACAATACAAAGTCAATACGATACGATATGAAAAAATAAGATTATGATACGATAAGATTTGAAACAATACATTATCGATGTAATAAGATTCTTTGATACTGAGTTGATACAATATGTAGATATAAGATTCAGATATGATGTCGATACGACACAATATGATTCGATACGGTACGAAGTTGATAGGATAAAATATCGATATGATGAGATTTTTTACGATCCAAAGCTGATATGATACGATGTCGATACGATAAGATTCGATAAGTTTATTGAATTATTTTGTGATTTTGAGTTTAGTTAGTTAATAATGTTAAAACAGGACAACAATTTTAAACAAATATAAATTTATGGATTTCAATTTGATTTTGTTTTAAATGTTTTAATATCAGTTTCATAATAATAAACAAACAATTCATTACAGTCCCTGTGGATAATTTTAATGTATTTTCTTGCCCATATAAACTGAAACTACATTAAAAATTTGAGAAATAAAGTTTCTGAAAATTAAGCAGTAGCACCATAATACTTGCTTTAAATAAATATGTACAAACATAAAAACATGACAAACTGCAGGATTTTCTGAATCAATATTAAATTGATTAAAAAACAAACATATTGCACAGAATGATTTTTTACCCACCCCTAATATTAGTATAAAAATAAAATAATTCCCCATTTACCTTCTACTATACACAGTTTAATGCCACTAGTGAAAAACAACAAAAAATATAAAAAAAAATAACTATCGCCTCGCCTCTAACAGATTTTTCTTTGTATAACTGAACTCCTACAGATAGAAAAATGCACATAATCAGTCTTTTWTTGTCTCATTTCTTTTTTTTTTAGATTGAGTTAATCAGAATAACAAACCACAGTAGAGTTAATAATCAGAAAAATAAATGATGTGTAAAGTAATATTACTGTTATTATCTTATTGGCTCATTTTGTTTGTCATTTCCTCACCAGCTGAGACGGGGGCCGGCGTGACGCTCAGAGGAGCTGCTGCTCTGACAGGCAGCGGCGCCGAGACACTGATGGTTTTTGTCAAGCTGAGGCGGTAAAACGCTGCAGCGACCCATAAATATTGAAGCTGCCCAGAGGCCGCTGACCCGCTCRGGATGATGGTGTCTAAAGGTCCGCTCTGAGAGAGGACAGGAGGAAGAAGGTCAGGGCTGCTGCATCTGATGAAGTGCTGCCAACAGTAGGTGGAATAATGAAAACGTAAACAGTTCAAAGACTCTCTGCTTCCACACTGTAATCTGATGCACACAACTACACACAAACTACACAACAACTACACACAAACATGTTTGTAAAGAAACCTGACGAGTTCTGCGTGACTGACCGAGCGTTACACAACCACACAGACTAATGAGCTGGAAATGGGTCAGTCAGTAGCCTCACACAGTGCTTCTGTGGAGGTTCTGTTGGGTTGGAGGAAATAAGTGAAGTGCAGCCGACACAATTCTGATATGGGCTGCAGCAGCCGAAGAGTTGCCTTCAACCAGCCGAACATCTGCTCGGCCTGCAGATGGAGACGGTTTGAAGATCCACTGATCTAAAACCAACTGATACATCCTTGTTGTCTTTTTGTCTCCTTATCTGTACTTTTGGTCTTTATACGCTTTCCTTAGTGTTTTATGTATCYTAAAACTCCCCGTATGTCTTTTTTGTCATTCATGGAAATGTGGCCAATCTATCAGGATGTGGATGCAAGAGGCAATGCGACCCCAGGGTGATCAGAACAATAAAATGCTTCATGTTCAGCTCTAAAGCTCCTGATGTAGACGTGTTTCAGGTGACTATCAGACACCTGTAGGTCCTCTAGATCTAATACCTAATACATGTGCATCCTTTTTGTCTCTATGTCCCCTTGATGCATCCTTTTTGTCTCTATGTCCCCTTGATGCATCCTTTTTGTCTCTATGTCCCCTTGATGCATCCTTTTTGTCTCTATGTCCCCTTGATGCA